AAAGGTGCTGGACGGGGTCTGATGCCTGCGCACGATGCACTAAACAAATTTGACAGAGGTTCAGTGCAGCTTAGTCACTGAATCCGTTGTCAGGAGCGAGTGTTTTGACCTGAATACAGTCAACCGAGCAATGTTCGCCCGATTCAGACCGGTATCACATTTAGTCTGGGAGCCTCCGGCATAGAGCACTCCAGGGTACATCCGGAACAACTTTTATTAACACCACTGAAGCAAACGTCGTCACTGCGGCATTTCTGCATTGCCTGCTTTCCTCTGCTTGGGTTCTCGGCGTGTAGCACCGTAAAGTGGCTACGCAGTTTCGATGTCGGTGCGACATGGAAGAAAGAGAGAGAAACGATGCAGCACTGCGGCGCTGTTGGCAGAAAACGGTGTCGTGGAGAAGAGCTTTCAAATTAAGCTGCCCTGTCGCAGAAACCGACACAAATTGTGTCTTCAGGACTGGAGTATGCTCGCGAACAAAACGCTCGGGCCGCCGTCCAGTCCTTCGCCTTCGGATGCTGCGATAGTCTGCACCGCTCCTTCTGAGTTCCTTGCCGGATACCAGGCCGTCTCGTGCTCAAAGCGCAGGTCCTGCCGATGCATGTCGGGGGTTCATTTCTGGCTCAGTTGAATTCACAAACAAGTCGGAAGCGCGAAAGCAGGGACACGAACCGGAACAATCTCTCCCGTAGCATCCACCTGCGCTCACGCAAATCATGTGCCAAATGTGTTTGAAGTCGTCGCCGTTCCACCTTCACAAGGAAAAGCAGTGCGCCAGGCTCCTGCCCCACAGTCGAACGACGAGCCGGAGGAGCGTCAGAGACAATTGCAGCAACTGGCACCGCAAGGTTCCAATTGCACCTCGAACATGTCTAAGATCTGTGTCACTGCATCAAGTGGTGTTTCGCACCTACGGACAGCATGCTGCTGTCTCCTCCCAAACCTCCTGCTTCTCGGGAGGGGCCCAGTACACCTGCTTCCAAGACGCTCGCTCGAGGCTGATCTGGCCAAATTCTTATGCTCATGGTTCGAGGTTCTTGCCACTCCAGGAGCTTGGAACTTCACCACCAAGAAAGCCCCGGAGTCCTCAACTCCACGGACGCGGAGACATCAAGGCATCAACGGACGACATCCCGCAGGACACACATACAAACTCTCTCCTGATCATGCTCGCGAGCATCACCACCCTTTTTGGGCTTTTGATCCTGCGAATGAATTGTGGGGGCCTCACTGTTCCGACAATCATCAGAACACAGGCCGAGGCTGGCACAGGACCCGCCGCATCTTTCGATGTGCGGAACAATCCCAACACCTGTCTCTCTGTCTCACACTGTCTCAGCATTGCGATATCTGCGTACTTCACGCAGAAGTACATGGACATCCGCCCTCCCATACCGCAACTCAGCGTTGCCTAACTACATGTCGACAAGCTCTTAGTCACCGTACCGCCTGTAAGACGTTTGTATGCCAAGCTCTGGGGTTGACTGCAAGGACAGATTCCACGACAAGCTCATGAAGCATTTAATTTGATGACCGATTTGAGCTTTCTTCGTTATTCGTTCATATGTTAACATGTGATGCTCATGCCGGCAAAGTTACAACGAGTTGCAGACGAACCGATGCGAAGAATCTCAAGTTTCGAACACATCGACAAGTGATCGCATAGATCTCACCTACCACACCAGTTACCGGTTGCTACATTGGCAGCTGACAGAGTACAATCTGAGCAATGCGATCCGCCGTTGCCTGCCGAATGTCATCCTCATCGCTTACGCGCACCTTTGAGAGCAGTTGTCGGCACAACTGTGCAGTGAACTTGCCCTTTGAGCGCATGTGATGTGGAGTCATGACTAACGACTACTGCACGCTCTTTCTCACTGGGCCCTTGGCTTTTATGTCCTTGCCTGGCAACTTCAGGACCTCTCAAAGCATGTTGTCACACGAAGTGCGTCTGTCTGGGCTGACAGCAGCAGCATCGAGGCCCTCTGGCGTAAGGGCTTGGCTCCCGTGGTCTGTCCCACCTTTACTCACGAGCGGAGCCCCTCTTCAGCAGAGCTTCACTTCCCGGCCTTTGCATCGTAACGCACCTTTTGACCCGGAGGAACGTCGGCAATTTTTTTGCCGTCCTCCGACGCACTGTCAGCACATGCCCGCACGGAAAGTCTGCTCGGATTTGACTTTGCCGGCACGGCTTGCATCGAAATGTGCACAGCATCACAGCATATTAAGCACGCATCGTCACACTGCCTCAGTATCTAGCTGCTGGCCGAGCTGAAGTAGACTCACATCAAGGTTGCATAGCTGGAGTCCTTCTTGACAGAAACATTGTCGGTCAATTCCAAGGTGAACCTGGCCGGCAGAGCCCATAAGCATTTCCGATTCTGGAGTGCTCTTGGCACAAGCACCATGCATGCCGGTGCGGCCTCAGTGTTGCACCATCCACATCTCTCACTTCTGCATGCTCCTCCTTGACCTGAGCAGAGCACATTGCACCCACCCGAGCCACGAACAAACCCCTTGTACCGGGAACAAGGCCCTCTTCTTCAGGTGCTGCGGCACCCCAACCCGCAAGCGCGCCAGGATCCTTGCTCTCACGACCCTCAGCTTGGCTTTCTGCAGCATGGCCTGCGACTCCCATCGCCTTGAGCTGCGATCGACCTTTTTGTCAAAGATGCGATGGCCCACTTTGCGGACGAAGGTCTCGAGATTTTCTTTTAAAGAAGTGTCCTGGGGAAGCGTGCCATAAGTGAAACAGCACGGACCAACGCAAGCTGCTAGCAACCCAGTCTTGAAGTAGACATGACTCTAAAGCTGAATGCAGCAAGCAAGAGGGTGGCCTCTTGACCCGGAGGTCTATCCCTCAAATCTTCGGGCACGTGCATGTGTGACCTGGCTGCTGTGCCAGGCACGCGCACGCTCCCGACCACGGATTATCTCGCACCAGCTGTAAGCCGTGGACACTGACCGAAACAACTCCTTTCGAGCCGTTTGCTGTAAGTCCTTATCGGTTCACGCCACATCGTTCACACCGTCTGCTCACTCCATTCTGCCTTGTAACCAGCACATGAACACACTGGGACAGGATCGATGACAGGCGTGGCGTCGACAGCGGAAGCTGTGCCTTTGGAGTTTGCAGGACAGCATCACTGCAACCCGGCAACCCTGAGAGCCCATGTCTGGGCCTTCTTTGGTGTTGGAGGTGTACTTCAATACCCTGCGAGGGAGCCACAAACATCCACAGGCAAGCATGGCATGGCAAGAGAGGAAACGCACGCCGGCACCGGATGGGTCCCCCACTGTTTCAGCTTCTTCCTCTGCAGCGACTCAAGCGGGTTAACTGTATCCTGGGCAGGGGCCAACGTGGCACGTAACTAATTTCAAAAACGATCGCATGATCTGATAAGTGTCATGTTCGGCACCCAAGCTATTCTGTCGTCCGAATTCTCGCAATGAGGCTGCAGCCAGAAGCCACTTTCGCGTTGGCGCGAATGGCCTGCTTTCTCATGAAGGCTGCACTCACAGCTTCGAGGTGCATTGCCGACCTCTGCTTTGTCGTGCTGTCCAGCGGGCAGTGGAGTGCTGGTGCCACCCGCCAATCAAAGCATTCTTCCTTGTCGGCACGTGCTGAAAGTGCCAGAGCATCAAATTCAGAACATCAAACTGAAGCCCTCCATCTGCAACACCGACGAAACCTTTCTGCCAGAAGTTCAACGACTGCGGGGGGCGCACGCGTGCAATCGTAAGCATTTAGACAGGATTGTGGTCAGAACTTCCGTACAAGCAGAACAAGTATAACACGAACTAGCAGCAACTTTTGATGATCTGATGTGCATGACCAGGTTCGCGGAAGTGCGGTTGTCCAAGCATCCAGTCAGCCTCAGAAGACGAGCGCAATCATCCAAATGCTTCAGTCAAGCTTCCTACAAAACTCACCGTGGAAGCTCAAAGCTTGGTAGGGTTCAACCGTTCAACCCACTCTAGGGTTGCGAGATTGACTGCATGGCGCATGGGCCAACGGTCTGCTGCTCCCTGAAACACAGGGCAGTCTTGCCTTAAAATTCAAGGATGAGCTTTCAGCGAGGCGCATCCAGAAAGACTGGGAACGCTGAAACCGCTCGTTGGGCGCTGGATCGGGTTTAACCGCTCGAGTTTGCTGGCCCCATGTGTGTATGTCCGTGTCATCTGCTTTACATGCAAGAAAAAACCTTGCGGTTCTGCAGTTATGTGCGTCTAGTTATGCAGGTTTGAGGTACCGTCTGCATGAATGTGAGTCATCGACTCGTTTTCATTCCAACAATCATGGCGGTACGTGTCACGGCTGGAAATCAAGCATCCTGATCTGCGACGACCGATCTCCAGCTCATCATTCTTGGTCTGGCAGCACCTACCAGTCTTGTGATTACTGTTGGAATCGCGCACGTGCTTTCGCTTTCGTTTCGTCGACAGTGGACTTTTTCGTTTTCACACTTCAGGCATCGTGGGTGCAGAGTTCAAACTGGCCAGCGCAGATCGTTGCCGCCTACGGGGCTCGCAGATTCAATCATGAGATCGCTGCTCGCAGCAACACTGGCCTCAGTTTGCAAAAGCAACGGAGACAAACTTTCAGCTCTCAGCTCCCATCCCTCATGGTTGCAAGAGACAGTGCAATCAGTCGAACCACTAGAATGAAGCCAATGACCCAGAAGAAAGCTTTTATCGAAACAGAACTGGCCTGGACTGTCTGGTCTCTCTGAAGTCATTGACAGTATGCGTAAGGCATCTTCACTCTGCCGCAGCCCCTGCACATCACTTGCACGTCCCTTGTCACATCACTTGCAAGTCTCTTGAACCCCCCTTGCACATCACTGCTTGCGCGTCATTTACACATCTCTTGCCCCTTGCAGAGATGAATCCTTCTTTTTCTCATTCACCCGAATCACATAGGGATGCACTTCCAACCCTGCACGCTCTGCGCACACCAGATAAGCTCAGGACATGAGCTGCGAGCTAGACGGACTACGCTACAAAAACGCATGCACGGCACTCTAGGAACGTCAAAAAAGGGCTATGCCTGGCATCCATTTATGTTCCAATTGATCTCCACTTCCAACTCCGGATTGGGTTTCCGTGTGCACTTGTTTTTAAATCCCAACAGCTTCGGATCCTGCCAACAAAGGAGCCGGGCAGCATACTTCTTCGCCGAAAAAGCGGCAAGGCTCCGACGTAATTACACAACTCTGTAATCACAAGACTGGTCGGTGGAGCGAGAACCAAGAATGACGAGCTGGACATCGGTCATCGGAATTCACGTTGCTTGATTTCCAGGCTGGACATGTAACAAACAAGCCGATAAATCACACTCATGCACACCGTACTTCATACATGTAACATAATGCGCATGACTGCACGTCACCTGACCTATCTATAGGCTGCAGATGACACAATTGAAAGGGCTTCCACTGACCCGCCTGCCTTCTGTGGGTGACAACTGTACGTCGAAAGCAACGAAAAGCTCCAGACTTTTTTGGTGGATATGGGTCCGGTCCACCGATAGCAGGTACGTTTGCACCCCAATATCACCTGTTCTTCGTTGGCCAGGACAGGTGATATTGGTTCCTGGCCTTGGTGCTTAGGTTTTGAGTTCCCCTGCAAAGTTTATCGCATGTACAGCAGAATAACACAAGCAAACCTGCCTAACCTTCACCTTGACCTTCCAGACCTCGACCTTCCAGCAAGCCCGCAAAAAACAAACCAGGGAGACCAAACCTTCACCTTGACCTTCCAGACCTCGACCTTCCAGCAAACCCAAGAATACCCAAGAGAAACAAAGAGACACAAAGAAAAACCCTGCAAAGTTTATCGCATGTACAGCAGAATAACACAAACAAACCTGCCTAACCTTCACCTTGACCTTCCAGACCTCGACCTTCCAGCAAACCCGCAAAAAACATACCAGGAAGACCAAACCTTCACCTTGACCTTCCAGACCTCGACCTTCCAGCAAACCCGAGAGAAACAAAGAGACACAAAGACAAAGAAAAGAAAAATCTGGCGCGAGATTGTACTCCTGCACACATGCATTGGATGTGCAGACCGAACAAGTCATCAATAGTGGAATCCGCCATCCGTTTCATCTTGTAAATTGAGCCACAAAATACCCAATACGTAGTCTGTCGAATAACTGAGTAATACCATTCTCTTGCCAATCGCACACATTGCGATTGATCTGAATACTGGTGCGGGTGGGGCCGCCATACTTGCCATCCGCTTCATCTTGTAAATTGAGCCACAAAATACCCAATACGTAGTCTGTCGAATAACTGCATTCGATATCCGAGACCACGGCGAGATTTGTGGCCTTCGGAACAACAGTCGTGTAAAAATGGGAGTCTGTACCTATAATTGGTGAACCGTAACCGTCCTCGAGATTGTACTCTTGCCGATCTGCTTGTATAACTGACCTCACATATGCCAAGCAGAGTCCGATCTGCTTGCATAACTGACCTCGAGATTGTACTCCTGCCCCCTGCGTTCACGATTAATGGCAACGTTAGTGTGTCGACAACACAACACGTCACAGGTCTGTACAAGTGATCTCCACTGTGATTTCCACTATGATCTCCACTGTGATTTCCGAAAGGCTGATCTCCGCACAGTGATCTCCACTTGAACATGTTTGCGCAGCAAAAGCTGTCGCCATCCTACCTGATTTCCAGATCTGCTAACACAAGCACCCCGGTGGGCCGGCAACTTCGCCGAAAAGCGACAAGGCCCTCATGAGGGAGCTCTTGTCGAACACAATTGAAAGGGCTTCCACTGACCCGCCTGCCTTCTGTGGGCGACAACTGTACGTCGAAAGCAACGAAAAGCTCCAGACTTTTTTGGTGGATATGGGTCCGGTCCACCGATAGCAGGTACGTTTGCACCCCAATATCACCTGGTCTTCGTTGGCCAGGACAGGTGATATTGGTTCCTGGCCTTGGTGCTTAGGTTTTGAGTTCCCCTGCAAAGTTTATCGCATGTACAGCAGAATAACACAGACACACGCGGAAGCTTTTGCCTTGTTGAATTTCGAGGCTCGGTGATCAGCAAACACAGGGACACCTGCTTCGAGATGTCATGTGAGCGAAGGGCGGTGCTTCCGGAGCGGGGTCGTCGACAGCCCCTCCACCCTTGTTCACGCCTGGTCGGCCTGGTCTTTACTGGACCTGAGGGTTTGGGCCGAACCCATCCCCCCTGACTTCTCGACGTTCTCGCCTCGTGGTCTGCTTCTTGACCTCCTAGCATCCTTAGCGCTTCCCGCGCCGTGCACGAGCCGAAACTCGCAATTCCAGTCTTCCGGAAGAACCATTCGCATCTCCGCGCAGCAGCATCACCAGCACTGCTTCTGAGATCAACCTTGCTGCAAGTTGCAAGTGTCCTTCCTGCTGCGTGGCTCATGAACTGTGGCTGCGATATGACCACAGGCCAACAGACGTTTCCTGCAACAAACTCTCATGTCGAGATTCCAGCAAGCTGACAAAATATTGTTTCAATTACACCCCATGCTACATAAACTGTTTGGAGACGGCTGATTGCTGATGGGGCACATTTCACACACACACACTGACACACACTTGCACTGACAAAACTTGGAAGAAATCAGGAACTACGTGCACGAGTAGCACGTCATTCGTGCCATGTTGGGTTCGTGCTGAGGTCCCAGCCTTATTGAAAAATTGATCTATCGGCTTCTCCTGCATGAAAATGTATGGTGACAATGAGCAAGCTTGCGCATCATTCAGCATTATGGCATGCCATATGCTCAGGCTACAGTCTCCAGTCTCAAATGGCCTTTTCGTCGTGATTGTCCCGTTCCGGAGTGATGCTAAAGAGGCGCCTTGGAATTACTCGGAAAAATCGGGTAGTAGCACCGCAGGATGAATATCAACTGTAACATCAGACGGAGCCACTGCCACTTTCAGTAACGGATCAAGCAAACCCTCGGCGACACAACAAATGCATCAGCGGCGCTGGTTGAGCAGGCTTCGGCCGGTGTGGAAGAGTCCATCCCACCTGCGCACCCACGTCGAAGGCGTGCTTGGAGGGACATACGGGCGCTGGTGACACTTTATTGACAGACACGAACGCAAGAAACGCCGGCTTGAAGGCCACGAGATGTGTCGGCTTTGGAGACCTTGAAGGACGCTATGCCTCCCTCCCCGAAAGAATCGAAGGCAAGCACATGTAACAACAGGGAATACTCATGGTCCAGACGATCATGCTTTGGTAAACAATCCGTGCGGCAGATCTGCATTGCTGGTTCAGCCCTTGATTGGAACCGTCAAACACAGCATGAGGCAAGACTCCCACATCCGACGCAGATGAATCCAATCCGGCACACGGTGGGTGTTTTAGCAGTTTGCGATCGGAGTCAAGCTCAAACAACAGCCGAACCCACGACACAGCAGGCAGCTGCCTGAGTCTACCCGATTGGAGCGCAAACACGTCGACGAAGATATCGACGAGGTCCTGCCAACACTTGTACGGCAATCGGAGACCACCTTTCAGATTGCAGGCACTGGTATTACTTCACTTCATGAGCCCATCTGTAAAACTGCGACACAGACAGCGGCTTCTGCATGCTTTGTTGTGAGCCCGGCAGTCCACCGAGAATCGCGGATTTCCCCACTGCGGCGTGCTCTCCCAATCGTATTTCTTCTCACTTTCGCTCAGGTTCTGCAGCTCCAGACTATCCTGCCGAGTTTCATCCTTTCCCGTCCGCCAGGCTTCTCACAGAGGCCGTACACTCACGCACAGGATGCAGTGCCATCAGAGGAATGAGGGGGGACGCGAGAGGCCTCAGGCCAGCGTTCAGGCGCAGGCTCCCACCTCCAAGCAGTGCTGGTACCAGTCAGTCTTGCTGATGGGCTTGACGGCCTGGGTCATCACTGGTTTGCATGGGGCCTGCTGCATTCGCACAGCGCCGCGACCAAGATTCACACCCAATCTGGAAACCAGCCCTCTTCCTTTGCTCGCTTTCCTGAATGGGCACCACTGCAAAAGAAGCGTGTCTTTGGGAGCCTTGCCTGGAAGCAACGACGAGGCAAAGCACTCAAACACCCACCCCACACTCGTCAAAATCGAAGCACTGAGACTCTGCTGAGCAGTGCACCGTTGTGTGTACCTTTCTGCACCTGACGCGTTCAGCGATCAAAGCAGATCCAAGATCTTCAGGGTAGGTCATGCGTGAAGCCTTGCGGCCGTACACCCAATGGGTCTCCTTGTTGTGGACAAGGACCTCCACTTTGTCCTCAGCACCCAACTTCCTCAATGAATCCCGCTAATTCCCTCGTCGTCGCAAGAGCTGGAAAGTAAGCAGCACGCAGAAGTGGTAAGTGCAAGTCGCTGATTGTTGTTTGAATCTGCAAAACAGCTGGAGTTTAAGCTTAACAAACCAGCAAAAAAACGATGAGAATCCAACAACGCCTTTCACAAGAAACAAGCACTACATGGCACTGCCTGGCTCGTACTTCTGGATGACATCTCGCGTTCGCAATGCCTGGTGCAGGTTGCGGCCGGATTCACCCGGGCACAACTTCTGGCCGGACAAGTCTGCAGTGAACGCAGTGCATAGTCAAGTGAACTGTGTCGTTTGAAGCACGGCACCGTGCAAGACATTTCACTATGATGTGCACACAAACGCCACTGCATCATAATCTTATGCATGCCGAAGCTTAGCGTTGGCAGGGCTTCTCTTATCTATACCGAGAAAAAAAGCGAAACAAAGGTACAGCCAAAGCGACACGGCCTGGAAGCCGAGGTCTTCGGAAGGCAGAGCAAGGGTAAATGCAAGATCAAACCAGCATGAAGCGAAGGCTAAAACCTGGCTCCATATAGGCAGAACGAATGTGAAAAAGAAGCAAGCATACAAAGTGAGGCATAGGTGCATCCCCCCGTAGCCCACTTGGACAGGAAGCGATCGTGAAGTGCGACGCGACGTAGTTCACAGCGACTATGTGACTAAAAGGAATGAAACCTGAAAAGTGCTGAACCCAACCCTAAACGGAGCGAACAGTTAGTTGAGAAACCACAAACCCTGTACGAAAATGCTGGCGGCGAACCCTGAACCGTAAAGGGAGATGTTGGCAGACTAACCCCAAACCCCAAAAGGAGATGGCAGTTGCCAAACCAAAAGGGCCCTACAAGGAAACGTTGGTTGAGGAACCGAAACCCTGCACGGAGACGTTGGCTGAGAAACCCAAAACCCCAAAATGAGATGCAAATCCTAAAACCCACAATGCTAAAAGGAATGAAAAGCCGAAAACCCTAGACCGTAAAAGAAGATGTTGGTTGAGAAACGCAAAAAAAGCACTCACTGGTTGCGAAACCCAGAACCGTAAACAGAGACGTTGGGAGAAAAACCCAGACCCTAAAAAGGAGATGTTTCTTGCCCCTGAAAGGAGATGTTGACCCAAAACATGCCACCCTGAAGCGAGATGTTGGTTGATAAACACCGAACCGACATGCGGGATCTTGGATGAGAAACCCTAAACCCCAAAAGATGCTGGTTAAGAAACCCAAAAACCCAAAAGGCGGAGAAGACGGGCAGGGTGGCAGTGAGGTAGGGGGTGGGGGTGAAGGGGGAGGTGCGAGGGTTTTCGGGGAAAAGGAGGTTGGAAGGGAGGGTAGAAGTTTACTGTTGAGTGGTTTCGAGTGAACTAGTGGCTGATAAACACCAAAGCCTGAATCCAAAGGGTGATGATGACCATGATAACGAGGAAATGGACGCCGGTGCATGAGGCTTGAGGGGCAGGGCAGAGAGATGACATTGACGAAGGGCATGACGTGGGCAAAGGGCAGGAATCGCAAAGGGTCTGGAATTAGTTTGGGTTTTATTTTTTGTCATTTTTTTTTTTTGTGGTTTGCTTGGCCGTGTTGCATTGCCTTGCAGGGCACCGAAGATCGTGGGGGTTCCTTTCTGAGCCTGCAGATTTACAGCTGAGGGTTTGGGGCGTTGGGATTGGGTTTTAAACTCAGGGCTTTGAAATCGAACCTGTGTATGGTGCTGCGTGCTCAGTTCTGATACCATGGATTGCTTCTACGTTTGTTTCTCATGTTGCTATTGCTGCCCCTGTCGTGTTAAGTCTTGTGGCCCCTGTCAGCACCCTAAGCCGAAACCCTAAATTTAAACCCTAAACTATCCTAAACTCTTTGCACTAAACCCTACACCCCATACCCTAAACCCTGAACCCCAAACCCAAACATTTTCCGCGCCCACTCTAGGCCCACAGAACAAGTCCTACATCCGAAAACCTCAAATGCCGCCTAGCTCTAAACCCAACAAGACCCCTGGTAGTAGAAGTAGTAGTAGTAGTAGTAGTAGTTGTAGTTGTAGTTGTAGCACCAGTCGCAGTAGCAGTCGCAGTAGCAGTAGCAGTAGTAGTAGTAGTAGTAGTTGTAGTAGTAGTAGTAGTGGTAGTACTAGTAGTAGCAGTAGTAGTAGTAGTAGTAGTAGTAGTAGTAGTAGTACCACTAGTAGTAGTAGTAGTAGTAGTAGTAATAGTAGTAGTCGTAGTAATGGCAATAGCAACAGCAATAGTAAGAGTAAGAGTAATAGTAGCAGTGAGAGTAAAAGTAGTAGCAATCAGCAATAACAACAGCAACAGCAATAGCAACAGCAAGAGCAATAGTAATAGTAATAGCAATAGCAATAGCAAAAGCGATAGCAATAGTAATATAGCAATAGCAATCGCAATAGGAAGAGTAAAAGTAATAGTAATAGTTGTCGAAAATAGGGGACCCTCATAGTACCCATAAAATAGTAGGATCCTTATTGCGAGGCGCCCAAAATAAGGTACCCCTAATGCCCTCATTTGCTGGGTTTCAAAAAAAGGCATATGAATCAAAGCAACCCTGCACGGCTTAAAACAGCGGGGGGGTTGGGGGGGGCGCAGCCCCCCCCATTTGCAGAGACAACGTTCACATGATGGGCTTCGAAAACACTCTTTGAATCAAGCTTGCACGTCTCGAAAAGCGCGGCGGCGGGTGTTTTGTTCTTCCGTGCCTGTTCGTGTCTCTTCTTCCGTTAGCATTCTAACCTAATATATATAACATAGTAAACCAGAAGAACGACATAAGATGGTTCGACAACACAAAAATGGTGTGACATTTTCTGACATCACAGAACCTTGCTTCTTATAGCATATAATAGCATACTAAAAATACAACAATACAATATAACAGAAGATGACATAGAACAAAACAACATCTTAGTTTATAGTGTAGTACATTGTAACATAGTACAGTACAGTGTGTATATTTACAACATAATATGTAGTATATTTTATAGGTTACATTTACATTATGTTATATTATGTTACGGTACATTACGATATTATGGTAAATTCGATTGGGCTATGTAGTATCCTGTTGCTTGTATCTTTGTTTCTGTGATTTTTTCATATTCTTTCTCTTTCGTATTTTCCAACTTTGCTTTTTTATTCTGGACTTCTTTCTTTCTTTCGCTCGTTCATTTCTTTTCTTTCTTTCTGTTGTTCTTTCTTTGTTCATCTCATACTCCCTTCCTTTCTTTCTTGCTTTCCTTTCTGGTTTGATTTATTTCGTTCTTTCTTTGGTTCGTTCTTTCTTTCGTTCTTGCTTTCGTTCTTTCTTTCGTTTTTGCTTTCGTTCTTTCGTTCTCTCTCTCGTTCTATCTTTCTTTCTTTCTGTTTTCCTTGTTTTCGTCCTCTTTAGATACAGCAATTCTTGAATTTTTCCCAGGGGAAACACTGTTTTCATACGGATTCGTTTTCATTTCCTGAGGATTTGCTTGGTTTTTGGTTCGGGAAAACACGATTTTCCTACGGATTCCGTTGTATTTCCTTAAGTTTCTTTCTTTAGTTCTTGCTTTCGTTCTTCCTCTTGTTTTTGCTTTCGTTCTTTCGTTCTCTCTCTCGTTTGTTCTTTCTTTCTGTCTTTCTTTCTTGCTTTTTAGATACAGCAATTCTTGAATTTTTCCAAGGGAAAACACTGCTTTCCTAGGGATTTTTCTTTCGTTTCCTAAGGATTTGCTTGGTTTTTCTTGGGGAAAACACGATTTTCCTACGGATCCCGTGGTATTTCTCTAAGTTGTCAACTCTCTTTGGTTCTGTCCTTGTGTTTTCTTTTTTCTTTCCTTGTAGCTTTCTTTCTTTACTTAGTTCTCTATTTTTGTTTTCATTCTTTACTTATAGCTTTCTTTATTTACTTATTTCTCTGTTTCTTGCATGGCTTTCTTTCTTTCTTTCGTTGTTTCTTTATTCTTTCTTTTGTTCTTTCTTTCGTTGTTTCTTTATTTCTTTATTTCGTTCTTTCTTTCGTTCTTTCTTTCTTTCTTCCTTGCTTTCTTTCTTCCTTCCTTTCTTTCTTTCGTTATTTCTTTCTTTCCTTCTCTCTCTCTCTCTGTCTTTCGTCCCTTTTTCCCCTTCCTTTCGCGGATACCCGTTTAATTTTTTTTTGATCCTTATTTAATTTTTTTTGATCCTTATTTAATTTTTTTTTGATCCTTATTTAATCTTTTTTTTAACTTCTATCCCGCTTTACTGACCTAAATTCGCCTCGGCTCGGCTTAGGGTTGAGGGCGTGACTTAAGGACTGATTTATGAGGCTCTCTATGCCGAAGAAAAAAGCCAAGAAGCCGAAAAGCCAAGAAGGGCGGGGTTTTTTTTTTTTCAGAGGTGCGGCCAACCCTTTTTTTTCCGAGGTGCGGCCAACCCTTGGTTTAAGGTTGGACACGCAGGATCCCTGTAGAGGGTTCATCGGGGACGTAAAGAATTTGCGCCGCACCACAGCGCCAGCGCTTTGACACGCAGGATCCCTGTGGAATGTTTATCGGGGACGTAGAAAACTTGCACCGCACCACGGCGCCAGCGCTTCGACGCACAGGATCCTTGTGGAAGGTTCATCGAGCACGTAGAAAATTTGCACCGCACCACAGCGCCAGCGCTTCGACGCGCAGGATGCCTGTGGAGGGTTCATCGGGGACGTAGAAAATTTGCACCGCACCACAGCGCCAGCACATCGACGCGCAGGATCCCTGTGGAGGGTTCATCGGAGTTTCCTTGATGTCGTCGTGGTCGTCGTCCTGGTTGTTGTTGCTGTTGCTATTGCTGCTGCTGTTGCTGTTGCTGTTGTTGTTGATGATGATGTTGCTGTTGGTCGTGGTTGTTGTTGTTGCTGCTGTTGTTGTTGTTGTTGTTGCTGTTGTTGTTGTCGTTGGTTGCTGTTGTTGTGGTTGTGGTTGTGATTGTGTTTGTGGTTGACAGGGTGAGGGATCAAAAAAAACTTAATTAAGGATCAAAAGAATTAAAGCACCAGGATCAAAACAAAATAAAACAAGGATCAAAAAAGATTAAGTCACGTAAAATACAGCAATTCCTGGGGCAGAGGCATCAAAAAAACCCTTAAAATAAGGATCAAAAAATTGAATCACTCAAAATACAGCAATTCCTGAATTTCCCAAGGGAAAACAGTATTTTCCTATGGATTTTCTTTCGTTTCCTTAGGATCTGACTAGTTTTTCCTCGGGAAAACACGATTTTCCTACGGATTCCGTGGTATTTCCTGAAGTTTTCCTTGGTTTTCCTGGGAAAAACACCATTTGTCTATTACCTATGGCGTTCGTATCATTTCTTCAGATTTTCAGAAGGAAAACATACGTTATCTTTGGTTGTTCCTCGGGAAAATCAAATTTTCGTTACAATTTCGCATTTAGGACGGATTTTGTAGCTCTTGCTGGTATTCCGCTTCATCACCTATCTTAAACACACCCCCTCATTTGGCGATTCTGGTTCAGCGGGGGGGTTGGGGGGGGCGCAGCCCCCCCCCCCCATTTGCAGACACAACGCTCACATGATGGGCTTCGAAAACACTCTTTGAATCAAGCTTGCACGGCTGGAAAAGCGCGGCGGTGGGTCTTTCGTTTTCCGTGCCTGTTCGTGTCTCTTCTTCCGTTAACACTCTATAACATAATATAACATAGTAAACCATAAGAACGACATAAGATGGTTCGACATCACAAAAATAGTGTGACATTTTCTGACATAACAGAACCTTGCTTCTTAATAACAGAACAAAACACGACAATACAATATACCAGAAGATAACATAGAACAAAACAACATCTTAGTTTATAGTGTAGTACATTGTAACATAGTACAATACAGTTTGTATATATACAACATAATATTTAGTATATTATATAACATCAGGTTACATTATGCTACATATTTTATGGTCCATTACGATATTATGGCATATTCGATTGGACTATGTAGTATCCTATTGCTTGTATCTTTGTTTCTGTGTTTCTTTCATGTTCTTTCTCTTTCGTATTTTCCAACTTTGCCTGTTTTTTCTGGATTGATTTCTTTCTTTCGCTCGTTCATTTCTTTTATTTCTTTCTGGTGTGCTTTCTTTATTCATTTCATACTCCCTTCCTTCCTTTCTTTCTTGCTTTCTTTCTTTTTCATTTATTTCGTTCTTGTTCTCGTCCTTTCTTTCTTTCGTCCTGTCTTCCTTTCTTTCTTTCCAGATACAGCAAATCTTGAATTTTTCCAAGGGAGAACACTGTTTTCCTACGGATTCTCTTTCATTTCCTAAGGATTTGCTTGGTTTTTCTCAGGGAAGACATGATTTTCCCACGGATTCCGTTGTATTTTCCAAGTTTTCCTTGGTTTTTCCTGGGAAAAACACCATTTGTCTATTACCTATGGCGTTCGTGTCATTTCTTCAGGTTTTCAGAAGGAAAACATACGTTATCTTTGGTTGTTCCTCGGGAAAATCAAATTTTCGTTACAATTTCGCATTTAGGACGGATTTCGTGTTGTAGCTCTTGCTGGTATTCCGCTTCATCACCTATCTTAAACACACCCCCTCATTTGGCGATTCTGGTTAGCGGGGGGGTTGGGGGGGGGCGCAGCCCCCCCCCATTTGCAGACACAACGCTCACATGATGGGTTTCGAAAACACTCTTTGAATCAAGCTTGCGCAGCTCGAAAAGCGCGGCGGTGGGTCTTTCGTTCTTCCGTGCCTGTTCGTGTCTCTTCTTCCGTTAACACTCTATAACATAATATAACATAGTAAACCATAAGAACGACATAAGATGGTTCGACATCACAAAAATAGTGTGACATTATCTGATATAACAGAACCTTGCTTCATGTAGCATCTAATAACATAACAAAAGACGACAATACAATATAACAGAAGATAACATAGAACAAAACAACATCTTAGTTAAGTTATGTCCTTTCGTCGTTATTTCTCCATTTTTGTTATTTCGTTATGTCTTTATTGTTTGTTTTTCTTTGTTTCTGACTCTATTTCGTCCTTTCCTTGTGTTTTCTTTTGTCTTTCCTTATAGCTTTCTTTATTTGTCTATTTGTTTATTTTTGATTTCTTTCTTTCCTTATAGCTATTTTTGTGTATTTCTTTCTTCTTGCCTTATTGCTTTCTTCCGCTCATTCTTTGGTTCGTTCTTTCTTTCTTTTTCTTTCTCTCTCTGTCCCTCTTGCTTTCCTTCTTTCTTTCTTTCTTTTTTGATCTCTCTCTCTCTCTGTCTTTCTTTCCTCCGTTACCACCCCCCCCCCTCCTTTCGTGGATACCTGTTTATTTTTTGATCCTTATTTAATTTCTGTTTGATCCTTATTTTATGTTTTTGATTCTTATTTGATTTGTTTTTAACCCCTATCCCGTGGTTGTGGTTGTGGTTGTGGCAGAGGACTACGGGACCGCATGCACCAGGGAACCAGGAGACCACGGGACCAGAGGACCAGCAGACCAGAGGACCAGGGGACCACAGGACCAAGGACCAGAGGACTAGGGGACCGCGAGCAGAGGACCAGGGGACCACAAGACCAAGGACCAGAGGACTAGGGGACCGCATGCACCAGGGACCCTTGGCCGCACCTCGCCAACAAGGGTTGGCCGCACCTTGGAAAAAAAAAACAAGGCCCGCCAAGAAGCCAGAAGCCAAGAAGCCAGGGAAGCCGAGAAGCCAAGCCAAGCGCGCACACAAGCCAAAAAAAAAAAATGCACAAAAAAAAAAAAAATAAAATAAAAATAAATACGCCTCCAATCGCAAATACTCTTGCTGCTACTACTGCTGCTACTAGTACTACTACTCAGTTACTACTCATCCTGCTGCTGCTACTACTGCTGTCCTACTCTGTACCACTACTACTACTCCTCCTCCTACTCCTCCTCCTCCTACTCCTACTCCTACTGCTACTGCTGCTTCGACTGCGACTGCTACCGCTACTGCTACTGCTACTTTTACTGCTGCTGCTGCTGCTGCTACTGCTGCTACTGCTGCTACTGCTGCTACTGCTGCTACTGCTGCTACTGCTGCTACTGCTGCTACTGCTTGCTGCTACTGCCGCTGCTACTGCTGCTAATAATAACCATGATAACCACTACCCGGTACTACCACCAGTACCACCAAACAACAAGCAGTAGCAGCAGTAACAGCAACAGCAGCATCAACAGCAGCAGCAACAACTGCAACAACAGAATCAGCCGCAACAACACTAATTACGCAACAGCCGCATGCACTCAATTGAGGACGGCAACTATCAATTCCTTATCTGTGAATCACTATCACCATGCCTGCTGCATCATGTTCGACACCTCTTTCGGCAACTTGCTCCCGCTGTAAGGAAGAGAGAGGCATGCAATCCTGGTGAAGCGTGGATGCTGTAGCATAAGAGTTGTGTCGGGCAAGAACTGACTCACGGTCGTATGCTGGAGGCTGGCAGCCCTTTGAGCGGCTCAGCTGAGGTGAGAACCCTTCATCCTTGTCCTCATCGACGTTTCGCAGCCGAATAACCTGCAGTTGTGACGCTGTCGTGGCTAACTAGGCTTCAACGAAACACCACTGACTCAGTCTCCCACCACATCCGGGAGAAGGACGTAATCATCCTCCTCACAAGACTCTCCAAATGTCTGGTCTTCACTGGCGGAAGATGACGTAATGATTGAGTTTTTGAAATCAGTCGACTAAATCTGAGCCGGACAGCTCATCTCTGCAAAACATTGCTGCCGAATAAGTCCACTGCGAGCTCGGGGAACACCAGCGATATCTGGGGCCTCAGTCGCAAGAAACTTCAGGAAGACTTCTTTCTGTCTTTAACATGGTCTCGTTCGTTCCATACCGGCCCCGACCCACGAGGCCTTCCCGGCCCAAGGTCTGTGCCTCGACTGCACATAAATCGAGATGGGAGGGGGGGTGGCGGGGGCATGCATTACATTTTCAGCAGCTATCTGCCGTGTTAAGGGCCCTGCTGCTAGGATCTCTGCCACTGGCCTGGCTCCGCAAGCATTGTGCAACATATCTTCGAGAAAGCTACAGGCAAGACATGCACTATCCTGTGCGTCTTGTACCAGTACAACAACACAATCCCTGCCGCGACCTCTTTCGGCTCTGGCATGTCAGGCTCCAGGGTCTTGCCCAGCTCGTCGTCCAACTCCTGAGCCACTCGCATCTGGCTGAGCATCGCACATTTCGCGGGCGGGTCCGTCTGCAGGTATGGGATGATCGGCACTTTGTGAACGGGTGCCTGGAAGCCTGCTCCCAGCAGGCCTGGGCGAGAGCCGCACTCGGAATGTCAAGCGATCATGCCTAATCCACTGAACCCCCTCCCTCCCCTCCCCTCCCTTGCTTCGCAACTTGATCTGTGCAATCTTCTTGGATTCATTGCAATACTGGTAATACATTAAGTCGAGCAAAGGCACAAGGAGCTCATCGCCTGTTATAGGACCCTAAACCCCAAACCCCCAAACCTTGTGATAAACTACGCTTGGGGCTTGGGGTTCCTGCGCTCAGAGGCAGGAGACTAGATCGCTATCCGCACGAAGCTCACAGCAGGTGCGGAGGGGGCGGGGGGGGGGGGGTAAAATCCAGATTTTATGAAACATCGAATTCCTATCCTATCAAGGTCCCGTGCTTGTTTCTGTGGCTTGATTGACAGGAGGTCCTGCTCCACCCACAGTCAGCAGAATTGAAATCGCTCGAAGTCGCTAAAGTCCTAAAGCGGAGCCAAGCTATTCACCACCTCGGGCCTGCTTTGGTGTGGGTCGAAATCTCGTTGCACAGAGGATTAGGAATTTGGCGAAATTCAATCTGCCGCCACAGTGCCGCAAGTTTTTGGGGCTTGCACCGGCGGCACTGTCTCCTGCCACACACCGTGCAGATGAAGAATCATGATCCCACCACATCTCCGCGCATGCGTTGGGGTGAGACGTCTGTTCCTGGCACAACTCGGTGCATGCCAATCGTGCTCCCACCACATTCCACCAGAGCGTGGTGCGCATTATCGAATCATGCATTGTTCTTGGAAGCCTCAGGTGCTCGGTGGTCACTTCATCACTGTGACGGTGCCTCCAACCGCAGTGCTTACGTTTGTTTTCCTGCGGACTCCGGAGTTGGACAAAATTCACCCCGCACACGCTAGACATGCGATGCTACAAGCAGGCCAATCGAAGAATATGTACGGGAACAATCAACGAATATCAGCATCAAGAGGCTAGTGTGTCATACGCTCACAAACGTGAATCCGCTGCCGTATACAGGGCTACAAAGGCCACAAGAGTTCGTGGTCCTACCGGGAGCCTTATGAACGTGTCGGGGGCACCTGAAATCTGAACATGTGCAAGGTGCTACGAAAACAGAGATATGACCTGTAGGGAGCAGCCAAGCGCAACCTCACCAGTTCAATAGGAGCTGTGCAGCCGAAGCACGATCCTTTCGCACGCGAAACTTTTCCTTAATGACGTCCAGTTTGAGTTCTGGCTTCCAAACCCCAGGACCTAGATAAGGCTCTGGCCCATTCTTGTGCTGTGGATGATGGCTGTGCTTTCAGGAAGCGGGACTCTGTCCCGGTCCTCATGGTCTTTGCCTCGGAGCAGGAGCGCAAGTCTGGCGCGGCGTGGAACAAGGCGACTTCGTTGCATCAAGGTGCTGATTGCCCTCCATCCGAGACATCTGCTTCCGTCTCGAAGCCCTCTCATTGCAGGCCATTGGACGTCAAGGAAAGCAAGCACAGAAGGGTTGAAAACCTTCAGAAGCCCGGGCCGCGGGCAACTTCAACCCATGTTCATCATCGCCATCAACATCATCAGCATCATCATCGTGAGAACCGTGATAGGGCCACAACTGGTGGCGGCGGCGGAGGTGGCGGGACAGAGATCAGGGGGGCGGGGTGAGCTGTTCAAGAATCACCGTCATGCAGCAAGCACAGCCAGACTCCAGGCCATATTCTGCGATTTGTTTCGCGAAGCACGCGCATGGTAGCGCACGAACTCCATGGCGACTGGTGACGTAGCAGCTGGAAAATCTGAAAGAATCCTGGCCTCGACGTGCAGTTTTGTGTTACGTTTGACTGGGCCGAGAGGGATGTGGTATTGTAGACGGTTTGTCTTGTCCTCTACAGCCCTCCCAGCCCAAGAAAAGGGTGACAGCGGCCTCTAGGCCAGCAGTTTCAAGGTCACAGCAGCAGCAGTCTGAGTCTGTACGTACGGGTACTTACTTGCCAACCACTGTTTCGGACGGCTGCGACCTCTGGAGACTGTATCTCAGCTTGGCCCTTTGCCTCGCTCCTTGAGCGAGCCTCTGGCAGCTATGTCTCAAAATTCTCTATTGGCTTCTGCAGTGCTTCCACATGAAAGATGGGTCGAGTTTGAGACATATCCTCATCGGCCTTCTGCTGACAGCACAGAGCAGGTACCTGCTTTTAAGAAGCATAGAAAGAAGCGAGCTCGCTGATCGTCTGCACGTAGCATACTGTCAGTCACCGAAGCGGGCTCGCTTGAAGATTGCACTCAGTTTGATCTGCCACGAAGTTCCATCACTTTCTCCTCGTCATCTGAGGATAAATTCCTGGGAATGTTAACCTTCACGGTGATGTAGTGATCACCGCGCTCCTGCCACCACGGCACGACTCGGTTTTGGACTAGCAGACTGATTGTGGCCAATGCGACCTCAGACATGCAGCCTCAAAAGGAATTGCGCTTGCGAAGCCGCGAAGGCCCAAGGACTGCAGGACCATACTCTTCAAGCGTGAGATAAGATTGCATGGTACTTACATTCATACTTCATTACTTGCGCCTTAGGTGCACAGCAATCCTTGGATCATGCAATGACCACGCACACAACCGGCAAGAAGCGGCCCGGAGCGATCCTGAGGCTTGCCGAGCTTTGGCACACCTCGACCTCTGATCCGCAGACGTGTTTCAGGCTGAGTACCTGCGCAACCCGAGTCGGTGAGTGTGCATTTTTGTGCGCGGACTTGTTTCTTGCCACGATCCGGGCCTTTCGGCACCTTGATCTCAGCGTCTCCATCAATGGTCTTCACCTACACGGCGGTCAGAAGCTACCCCTCCAAACCTGCGATAAAGCAAGACCCTGCCCGCTCTTGGGCCAAGAACAGTCTGCCGAGGATATGCCCGGAGGACCGGATTTAAGAACAAGTCGAACTTAGAACATATCTGGACCAACATGCTCATGCTCAACCTGGACCACGAGGGTTCAAGCTTACAGCGTGGCTGCCTTGATGGAGGTTCCCAGGATGGCGTCAAACACATCCACGGTGCTTTCAGTATAAATATCAAAGTCTTCGCGCTGAAAATCGTTGGAGTTCCTTAGTTCGAGGACACGCGAATCCTTCCAGTTCCTACCCTTTCCATGCCAGGCCACTCGACTTTCACGCCAATATAAAGATCTCCGGAGGGACCCTTCTTGGATCCTTGCCGCGGTCTTGTGCTCAATGCTGCTCAGGCACAAACCTAACATGTTTCCGGATGAAAGCTCTGTGCAGCTCACAACGCTGCCCAGGATGATGTGATACGGTCGCGGTATCAGCTACAGTAGTGCAAGCTGAGCACGCAGGAATCCTGCTGTCCCTCACTCGGGTCTGGTTTAGCGGGCCAGTATTTTTGTGTTAAAACGACAAGATGCATCTACCAATCAACCACTAGCTGCGGTCATGTCCTTGCACCCACAGCCAGTCACGCATCTGCGACACTGTCCGATGAGGGCAACAACCGATCGACTAGCCGGTGTGATCCGGTCCTTTGTCACCTTCACCTCTGAGACGAAGTTGGTTGCCTTTCACACCAACACTTTGAAACGGCGCTTCTCTTCTTCTGCAGCTCACTACGCTGCGCATCATTCTGGGACACGGACCAGTATTGCAACCTGCTGGCACCTGAAGTCCAACAGTTACTAGAACAAAACCTGATGGTATGCATATGCACCTTGACGGTGACTTCCTGCCGAGCTGGTGTCGTGCCCTGCCAAGAGTGCAAGCTTCGACCGACATGGCTGATTCTACCTCGGGCCTTGCCCCCGCAGGAACTGCAAAGGCTGGAAGGGTCCACTCCAGAACCGTTGCATGCCGGGCATACCTTAAATGGGGCGAAGCCGACGGCATTCAATCTGCGCTCGTGTACTTTCAAAGGACGAAAACTCGTCAAAATTGGCCCTGAGAAGCGGCCTGCTGTGTCTGCATGACACCGAAAGGAGTCTGCATGACTTGCAGCACCTCAGCTTAGGCAAGCCCTGCTTTCTCGCTCGAGCGCACTACGTCGCTTGATGTACGGACGGGCGAAGGCAGATGATCAACACTGCCACGCTCAAATCATCACGACCAAACTGCATCACAGCAACGGTGCCAGTCCCACCACATTGTCGACACTGCGTCTGGCCTTGTTGAAGGACAAAGCAGCGTGAGCTCACGAGTTGAAGTTCAAGTTCATTAAGCAGACGGCTTGCACCCGGTTTGGTGCCAGTACCAGAGCAAGTGGAGCACACCCTGCGCTGCACCAAGGAGGGAGACGAAGTGGCGCGGTGCTGCACAGAACCACCAGCCAGGCGGCTCTTCGCGTCTGATGTCCACCTTCACTTCACCACCAAAGCAGGCTGTCCTCAGCTGGCTCCAGACTCACAGCCGACAGTTCTGCAATTGACGGGTTCTGGTTGCGTTTGGTCCCACCCACCGGGCCCACACACACCCAGCACCCACCACCACCGCCACTGCCCACCAAACCCCTCCTCCAACCACCACCCCGACCCACCCACCCCCCTCACGTGGAAGCTGGAAAAATGGAATGAACCACACCTAGTGAGAGCGCCGATTCCAGATATGGACAATAAGATCAACCGCCATATCCCCAGCGATTTGCGGGTTTCATATTTGAGACGACATGGGATCAACCGCGCTCGCCGAATGCGGGGCCGGGTCTAAGATTGGATCAACCTCACTGCCCGACTCAGGAAGCGGGTTGAAGACCCGACATGAAGCCTCCATCTTGTAACAGGGACATGGGATCAACCGCCATGGCCTTGTGGGGGGACCGGATTACACTATGAGATTAACCGATCTGGCCCGATGAAAAGACTGGGTAACGGATATGGCAATTTTCTAACTTTCTTGCTCCGAATCTTGATTACTTTCGAACTGTCAAGTAAAAAACGTCCGAACCTTTCAACCCTTGGACTGTACGTCGAAAGCGTGCAAGTATGAGAGTTTGAAACGTTTGACATCGACGCGCGCACGCGTGCTCGCGCGTACGGAGATGCGCAAACTCTGTGCCTTTGAATCCACGCTTGGCAGAGGGGGAGGTTACTGGATTGTGTGTGCTTGGGAGGGGTGGCGACCCACCCACCGCCCTATTTGCAGAAACCCGCCCCTGCAGAGTTATCCACTTCTTCTGGTGTAGATCAGGAGGCAGCTCCTTGTCTGCAATCTTCAGGCTAGCTATTTCGATCACACCAAGCATGTCGAGTCTGCGAGGTAAAGCAAAATGGGAGCAACCTCTTTTCATTTGGGTGTATCACATTATCACAGAGACCGCAAAAGGGTCAAAGTTGGACAGGGCGGTCATCTGACAAACTCTCGGATCCGCGCAGGAAGGGGATCGTGACCTCGAGCTGCCTGGGCTAAGCAGCTGTGGCATATTATGGCGTATTACGAGTAACTCGGAAGTCTGTCCCTGGACCTGCTCGAGCTCAACTCGCTTTTCGTTGTGACGGGGTGCAGATCTGCGCCCTTCTGCGGTCCGGACTGTCGTTGGCGCCGGCCTCCCATACCTCCCATGCCACCCATGCCGCCCATTCCACCCATTCCACCGAACCTCAGCGCCATGGATGCAATAATCCGAACACGATCTCAGCAAAACCGCTGCCTTGCAAGGAGCATTTGACTCAAAAGCTCCTCCAGACCCATGCCACCCATACCACCCATGCCACCAGCTCCACCCATGCCACTGACGCCTTGCGAGACAGATCATGAAGCCAGACGGATGGCCAAACAGAAGATTCTGAACCCGCTGCAACCGGGCCTGCTTCTCCGAACCTCGCCGCATATGGAGGAAGATTAACAAGCTCCGCAGTCATCATTGAGGCTACAACTTACAACTCGAATCTCGATATGTAGCTATCTAGCTCGTTAGCCAGATAGCCAGCTAGCTAGCTAGGCAGACAGATAGCTAGATAGCTAGATAGATGCATAGCTAGATAGCTAAATGGCCAGATGGCTAGATGACAAGATGGCTGGATGGCCAGATAGAGGGATCGATGGAGGATAGGCAGATAGATAGACAGATAGATAGATAGTACGTAACAAGGTAGATAGATAGATACACTCATCGTTGATAGATAGATGGATACATAGGTAGGTAGATAGATGGATAGGCAGATAGGCAGATAGATAGATAGGTAGCAGATAGGGAGGTAGATAGATAGATCGGTAGGCAGGCAGAAGGGGGATGGAGATGGTATCGAGACAGAAGCATAAAGAATGATATTCAAACATCGATGCAGAAACGGATATGTATATATATATGTATATATAAATGCACATATAGATTTGGATATATAGGTATGGATCGAGACAAAAATGTAGATATGGGTGTAGCCCTACATACACACCTCATCACAACAGGTGCCCGTTTCGGGCAAAACCTGTACTGGCCTCGGTGTCTCTCGCTCTTTCTTTCGGGCTTT